TGCTGAAGTATTTTCTCAGAAAGTATCTGGTTTTTTTCCTTTCAGCAAACCCCTGTGAGCTCCACTGTCGCCCCGTAGACGGCCATTTTTCAGACAAGATGCTTGATGCAGTCACTGATGGTACTCCCTGCTTTGAAGGAAGGCATAGCCGAGATATCTGTATTAATGGCATGTGTAAGGTAGTGGGTATGTTTGCATGTTTCTTTCTTTACAATTTTATTTTAGAAAGTTATGGGAAAAATGTTTAGCAAATTTTGTTTGAGGATCGAGGCCAGGTACTCCATTTTACCACATTTTTAATGATCATGGAAACAAGTTTATACAAACGGCTTTTTCAAGTAGACATAAGTGTCATTTCCATCCTTTTTAATGAATCCATTAGACTAAATGCTTATTACTTCTGGTACCTTTTAAGTTCTATCTTCTTCTGTTATTTTAAAACATCAGTTTAAGCAAATCTGTTTCTGATGAGATGCTTTCACAAAAGATTGTAGCTTTAGGGCTGTAATTGGTTTCACTACTCTTTTTTTTAATGAAAATGCAGTTTATCGTTACACATAATGTAACAGTTCTGAACAGACTTGTGATAGCTTCGGATGTTTGCACTTGAGGGCAGTAAAAATTAGTTTAGTTTACAACAGTAAATTGAATAATGCCACACAATGACATAACAGGCAAACACAGAGCATATAGTTCAATAACATTCTGTTTATTGAAGAGTAAGGAGTTCTCTGCATATTCTCCTGTGATAGTAGGTTTCCAGGTTTTTGACTGGAAAAGGGGAAACAGAACCTCCCTTTTTTAAAAGGGAAAAAAGCAAGACCCAGGAAGCTACAGGCCAGTCAGTCTCACTTCTGTGCCTGGCAGGATCATGGAGCAGACCCTCCTGGAAACTATGGTAGGGCACTTTGAAAATAAGGAAGTGATCGGTGAGAGCCAGCATGGCTTCACTAAGGGCAAATCATGCGTGACAAATTTGATGGCCTTCTAACAGTGGGACTACAATGTCAGTGGGTAAAGGAAGAGCAACTGATGTCATCCACCTCGACTTGTGCAGAGCATTTGACAGTGGCCTACATGACATCTTGGTCTCCATATTGGAGAGGCATGGATTTGACAGATGGGCCACTCAGTGGATAAGGAATTGGCTGGATGATCACACTCAGATAGTTGTGGTGAATGGTTTGATGTCTGATTGGAGTGATTAGTGGTGTTCCTCAGGGGCTGATGTTGGGACCGGTACTGTTTAACATCTCTGTTGGTGGCATGGACAGTGAGATCGAGTGCACATTCAGCAACTTTACCAGTGACGCCAAGCTGTGTGGTGCAGTCAACACACTGGAGGGAAGGGATGACATCCGGGGGGACCTGGACAGGCTGGAGAGGTGGGCCCAGGCCAACCTCAAGAAGTTCAGCAAGACCAAGTGCAAGGTCCTGCACCTGAGTTGAGGCAGTCCCAACCACAAGTACAGGCTGGGTGATAAGTGGATTGAGAGCTGCCCTGCAGAAGAGGACTGTAGATGTTGATGGATGAAAAACTGAATATGAGCCAGCATTGTGTGCTTGCAGCCCAGAAGGCCAATGTCATCCTGGGCTGCATCAAAAGGACCTTCTCCATTGGGCCAAGGGATGTGGTTCTGCTCTTCTGCTCTGCTCTCGTAAGACCCCACCTGCAGTTATGGGTTCATCTCTGGAGCCCCCAACATAAAAGGGACATGTGCCTGTTGGAGCAAGTCTGGAGGAGGCTACAAAAATGAACAAGGGATTGGAGCACCTTCCCTACAAGGACAGAGACACCTGACAGCAGCCTTCCAGTACCTGAAGGGGGCTACAGGAAAGCTGAGGAGGGACTCTTCATCAGGGAGTGTGGTGACAGGACAAGGGGTAATGGTTTCCAAATGAAAGAGGGTAGATTTAGGTTTGACATTAGGAAGAAATTCGTTACGATGAGAGTGGTGAGACACTGGACGAGTTTGCCCAGAGCCACCTCTGTGGATCCATCCACTTTGGATGGGGCTTTAAGCAACTTGGTCGAGTGGGAAGTGTCCCTGCTTTTCAAAAAAAATTTCCTCCAAGGTGCTGGTGCTATCGTAAATACTGTTTTGTCAGCATTTCACATGTGTACTACTGCTTCACATCTTCTCACAAACAGATTTAATTGGAGTCAGAATCACAGAGTGAAGAATATAATCATGCAACTGCCACAATTGAGACCAAGTGATGAATAGGTAACCCAAGTATCTCACATTTCTGAAAGACAGTATGCTTTTATCTGAAATAGATACCCAACATAACAGTTAAGAAGAACCTTTTTTCAGTATCTCCATATAATTCACTAGTATTTCAGTCCAGCTAATTAAACACAATACATACATTACAGGTCACAGTGAATAAATCTGGAAATGCATTTAATATAATTAGTCCGGTACATCATTCTTTTACCTCTGATAGCAGCATGTTGCTAATGATGTGAAAAAGGAATTCACAAACATTATTGGCAATGTCTGTTAAAGCCCTGTTCTGGTTTTCAGTGCCTTATCTCAGAAAAGCACTTCACATTTGTTCTAAGAACTAAAATAACACTTCACCTAGGTTGAAAATTAAGCAAAAAATTAAAATTGTGAGATGTTGTACATTAGATCCACTGTTCATTTTGCTCACGTTTGTTTGGTTTTAACAACCAAGCTCAGAGTTTTCCTGGTGGATATACCAAAGCAAGATAGATAGACTCCAGTTCGGTCAAGATTTCACCTGATTTTGTAGTTTTCTGTGGTTTTCTTTGGAGTATTCAGAGCAATTGTCTTACCTTGATGGCTAAATGTGGATTGTAATACCTCATTTTAGCTGCCTGAGGTATACTGGATGCTTTCCTAGCCACCTTGGCAAGCCCATAAAGTGCATCTTCAGGTAGGAAGCAAGTACAGACAGAACTGGCGCTGATTCTCTCTGTCCTTAAAATTTTACCAATATATGGGTCCTAGTTTTTTAGGAGTGCTGCCTGTGCCTCAGTGCAGATGGAAGCCTCACTGGTGAGCTGTTACTCATGTGGTGTTCCATTAGAACTTGACTCATCAATTCAATGACAAGTTAAAATTGTTATCTCGTTCGAGGGCCTGGCATATAAAATAACTGGGTCCTCTCTCAGCTTTGTCCTTACACAGAAGAGGAGCTCCCTAAACACATATTATGTAGGTAAATCACTCCATGATGGAACCAGTGGCTGCAAAGGGGGATCCCAAAGCTACATACCTGCAGTTGCAATCATGGTTTTTTCCCGGCTGTGCTAATAAGGGCGAGAGATGCAGTTCCCTTCATCCTTTTGTTGTATTTGCACCTAACATGGCCTTCCTTCAGATACCTTCTTAGACGCCCTCCTATCATGTTGTCTGACTTAGAAACACCTTTGAGTGGAAGAAGTCAACAAAGTCCGTCAGGAATTTAATCTAAAATCATCAGTATATACCATGACTGTTTTGCTGTTTAACTATATTCCTCTGCATTCACCTTGAGCGTCACTTTTTAAACACTTAGAATATCGTTAAAGCACTGTTGTGGCTCAAGCCGACTGGGACAAAGAACCACAGGGTCTCCAGCTCACTCCTCCCCCACTGCCATTTCAACAGTGATGTGAAGGGAGACAATTCAACTAAAAAGGCTCAGGGGTTTGAGTTTAAGGATAGGGAGACTAATGATGTACTGTTTAAGATGATGGGTAAAGAACCAGAGCTACTTGGGAACAAAAACATAGATTTAATTCACCACCACCATTCACAAAGTAGGATAATAAGAGGAATACATCAGTAAATATGACCTGATCTTAAACACACTTCACCCCCAACCTCTCCCATCTCCCTGCCTACCTCCTCTCCCCATCAGTGCAAGGGGCACAGGAGGTGAGGGGTGCAGTGCATCTGGCCATTACTTATTGTCCATGGCAGCTCCTTCTTGAGAAAGAGGGCTCCTCGTAGTCTCTCCTTCCTGCTGCGTGGTGTCCACCTCACAGGAGGCAATCCTCTTCCTCCGTGAGTGTCCATCGGAGCCATAGATCACTTCGGGCACATCCCCTGCTGACGCTCGGTCTCTCTCCCCTCTGGCATGGGGCTCTGTATATACCCGTTCATCCTGGATGTCCTCGCCACCATCAGTTCCCCAGCTGGCAGGCAGTCACCTTCCTGACATCTCAGCCACCAGAGGCTTCAGGGAAAGGTCCTGCTCTGGCAGCCTCCTCCCTCTCCCTCTCCTCTGGGACTCTTCTTCCCCTCTTTCTTCTCAGGGCGATGTTCCCTGGTTCTCCTCTCACCTGCCCCAGGACACCTCTTAAATACCTTGATGGAAGGTGGGGTCACCTCTTAAATACCTTGATGGCAGAGGCACTGATTGGCCTGGCCCTGGCTAGAGACAAGTCCAGTTCTGCCTGGGGGTGAGGGAGACTCTCGAAGTTTCACCCCTACTTTTTACAAAAAAGCCCATCAGACTCAAACCCATGACAAGCACATATCCCATCTTCCTGATACATCCCAAGTACACTGTTATTCTTACTAGAGGAGTCATTTCCTCCCCTAGTGTTAATAAGCAGAGATGCTGCCACCAGAGTATTTTTGTCGAGCACTGACATATACATGACTGAGGAGTTTGGTTAACTACAAGCCATGACATGATCTAAGAGTGAAAGCTTACATGATGTATGCGCTGAGAGCGTGCAGACACTGGGTGTGGATGACCTGGTATATCTACTGTTTCTGGCAAACACTTAGGCACAGAATTTTAATTCGCTTTATAGGCCTTCAGTCACACAAATCTGTGAGCTGTTCTCTGTGGTAATTCACAATTGTTGAGAGATTAACATTGTATTGGAGGACTACACAGCTGTGTAGTACTAGAGTGGAAAGTGTTTTTTTTTCTTTTGCTGCAAAGCAGATTGAACATCTCAGATTTTTTGTAGTAGCTTTACTACCTCTTACTATAGTTCAAACTCCTCCTCCCACTGCCTGCCCAACAGGACATTGCTTCAGACACATCTAGATGAATGGTAAGAGCAACAGGCACATCAGGATGCATTTTTCCCCATTCAAGGCAATGTCACAATCAACATGACATTAACATGATGTCATTATTTGGAGAAATGATTTCGTTATTGGGAGACCATTGGCAAGAACGAACGGAAGGAAGAGCCTTAGCTCTAAAAGCACAATGTACCTTTGCTATTTAGACAGTACATCCAGGCCATACCCTTCAGCGGCAGCGAGGACTTTTTGTATCTGCCCCCCTGCTGCCAATCTGACACAGAAGTCTCTACCCCTGGAAGTGGCAAAAAGGGTAATATCTCTGGCTGTTCTTCCTTTAGTCACTGAGCAGCAGGAAGGAAATTGTTCATCCTTCCTATAATGCAGCCAGGAAATTCAGGTCATTATTTGTGCCTCCGCAGTGTGTGCAGGCACCAGAAATAAAAGCTGGTCTCAGGTGCATCGAAAAAGCTCTTGGTGAATGTGGCAATGGCAGAGGGCCACGTAGAGGGATGTTAATTTGCACTGCACATGCTGTGGCACACAGTGGTTGCTGTAGCACAGCATGTTTCACGGGCAGAGTGTGCACAAGGACTTCTGTTTGCAGAAGAATCAGAGCTTAATTGCTGGTGGATTTTTCTTGTTTTATAACCTGCATTTAGTCTCCAGATCCCTTTTAACAGGCAATTTGTCAGAAATTTGAGGCATGTTTTTCAAGGCAGCCTTAGAAATACGGCTACTGCATATCTAGAATGATCAGAAGAATGAGGAAAGGAAGTAAAACAAAAGAGGAAGCATCTAGAAATTAATCTGATGGATGACAAAAACAATGTGGTATTCACTGGAGCAGGAAAGTAAAAAATGGCCTGGAAATTTAAAGTTCATGCAAATGTGCTTAAAATGAATGACTACTGGAGCTGTTTGCTCTGACAAGGCCTTATGTGGCCTGTACAATGGGGCCCTGCCACCAGAGTTCAAGATCATTGCACCACCAGCAGCAACCTAGAGCTAATGAGTAAAATGAAGGCTTTATTTACTGTGACACAGTAAATTGCCTGCTCTGCCACAGTTTTCTGTAGTGCTTCATTCTTGGGGCACCCACCCCCACCATGTGTGTAGGTAAGACTGTGTTGTCCAATCAGGTACAAACTATATTTCAAATATTAGAGGGAGAGCAAAATACAAGTTTCTGTGGTTGTAAGTGGAAGGGACAAAGGCATTCCCTTTGTGTCAAAGCCGTGTCATATTTTGGTACCATGGATGTGTTGCTGAAGGAAATGTATGGCCAAGTGAGAAAGATCTGAGCTGATTCTGACTGTGTTGGTACAGAGTCCAGCCCGTGTAAAGACGGTAATTGGCAACCCAAAGGCAGGAAGGTGATGATCCTGTGGTGGTGCTGCTGGACTCTTCTGCTAGTGCCAGTGCAGTAGGTTAGGATTAACTTGTTTAACATTTCAGGATTTTTGCACTACACAGTACTCACAAGGCAAGTACGCTCAGTGGTGTTAATTTCAAAATGTCTGACTGACAGCCTGAACTAGAGAAATTATTTCTGTGTGCAACCTTTCCAACAGTTGTGAACAGTAAAGATGAAGAGAAACCTTTTCAAGGATATATATTTTCTGCCAGAAAACGCTAATTTAGCAGAAATGATACAATTTGAAGACAAGTCTCTTTTATACAGAAGTTCAAAGGTGAAGGTCCAAAACACTCATTAATAGTATGAGAGTGGAAAATGAAATGGAAGTGTTCCATTTCCAGATTTTTTTCCAATTTTCTGTTTAATAGTGAACATATGGATAGAATAGAAAATAAACTTCAACTTTCAGGACTCCCTAGAGAAGCTAGTTTCTCCTGTGGTCTAATAATAAACCTAATAACAAGAACTTTACTGTGTGTAAATGATTAACAAATGTTCTGATAGTGCAGTAAATATAATGCAGAATGCATCTCAGTTAGAAAATAGCTACACACTACCTATTTAAATTCTTAGGAAGTGTTGAATATAAACTGCAGTGCATCTGTAGATAGCAAGTGGAGAGTCACATCTGAGCTCCTGGCAAGACCTGGGCTCCTGCACTTATCGCAGTGGCATCTGTGTACTTTGTATACTTCATTAAATCTATCCTTGGTCAAATAACTACATGGTTGGAGGCAATGAGGCAGACACAGTAGCATGTGCTTATCTCTGTAACATTCTGTACTGCTCATACACGTGCTCTTTGTCTGTCTGTGTGAAAGATATTACAGAACTTTCCCTATTTTGAAAGTAGCCTTCACTGAAAGGAGAGAGAAGCTGAGGCTGTTGCAGAACCTTCTGGCATAGCCCTTTTTTTGAGAGCAGGTATCAAAGATGGTGGGTAGATGTTGGCATTAAGTGATGGATGAGTCTTTTTTGAGTCTTCTGTAAAATCACAAGTGATTCAGTTTAACACAGTTTGTAACTTGAGGCCTTTTCTTGCTTCTGTTTTTGCAACTTCTCTAGCTATTCATTAAATCACTAAGAAAAGTTCAGATGTTTCTTGAGCTGAAAATGACAGAAAACTATTAGAGAATGAAGGAGCCTTTATACCTAGATTAGTCTGATAGATGGATTTTCCTGCCAGAAGCTTACGGAAGATTAAAGTAGCTGATGTACTGAAGGTAAAATAACATCAGACCTAAAAGAGAGGATACCCAGATTTTCATACATCAAGAGACTGTTGAGAGAAATTGGCATGTTGCACCTGAAAGCTTATTTTGAGAAAAATAATCTGAGAAAAGCTTTACTTACCACCAGACTTATGGCTATTCATCTAAATCTCAGGCCTACAGATACCTTAGATACCTTAGGTGTTGCACATTAGGCTGAGTTCTGCAGCCTTGCTAGTTTTTAAAGAGAGGCAAAAACCGCCTCAAAACCAAGTAAAGGTTTTGGTGAAGTTTAAAGGCTTTAGCACGCGGATTTTTTGGTTTGGGCAAGGAAAAAGGTTTTGTCCTGACTCAGTATTAATAATTTTTTCTCTCACTTTCTCCCTGTATCAAGCATCAACTGGAAAATCATTCTTCACCAGAATATTCTCGACCCATTCTCCTATGCTGGCAAGCTGGAGAAGCAGCTTTCAGGATATAAAACTTCAGGCCTGGTGAAGAGTTTCTTTTTTTGCCAGAAGGGTTTGACTGAAGTAGAGGTTCTGATGGCCACAAAAAGCTGATACAGATTTCAGTGCTGTTACTACATTATATTCCTGGAAGTCCATGGATGATTCTATGACATGAGAAAGAAGACACAAATCCCAGATGTATTGGCTAGTCCTAGATGTTGAGGCCATTTGGATGGCACATTTCCATTTCATGTAACTGGTCACTACTGTATGCTTCATGATATAGAGGTGGTTTGCTTGTTTGTTTTTCACCTTCATATAATGCAGGAGTTTGACCTAGATATAACAATCTCGACTGTTAATTTATTTATATAGGATATATACTCTTCCACAAAATTGACTCTCCCCCTTCTCAGAAGAGCAGAGTACACTGAAGGCAGCGATACATGAGTTCTGAGTATTTGATTGTGGAGGCTGTACTTATTCTGAAACTGTTTTTCTTTCTAGACTGTAGGCTGTGATTATGAGATAAATTCCAACGCAACCGAAGACCAGTGTGGAGTTTGCCTTGGCAATGGCTCTGCTTGTCGTACAGTGAAGATGTTATTTAATCAAAGTGAAGGATTTGGTAAAATGGGTTCTTGTTTTAAACTCTTCAGTTGATGAAGTAATTTCTGTACACAAAAAGGCTTAAACGCTTCTCTTTGCAAACTGAATGACTGATCTGTGTAGAAAGTTGTGAATGGATGTTTCAGAATGAATCATGCTTCTGCCAGAAAACATCTATGGTTTGTGCTTTTTAAGTTCACCTTGTGTAGTAAAACTTATGTCAGAGACCAACAGCCCTACACAAGTTACTCTGATAATAGTAAAAGCCAAAATAGCAAGTGCATTTACAAAATTAATGTAATTTACCACCTTGGAAAATGTGCAGGAAATCTCTAGACAGTGTAAAGCACCAAGAAAATGCTAAAGCGAGTGTGTTGGGCATTCATTTCTAAGTGTCAGAGATCAGGTGTGTGTAGGGACAAATAAATTTTCTAACTTTCACTACAAGGGGACAATGCATTTAAATTTATGAAAATTAGGAAATAAGGAATTGTGCAAAGTAGAGGTGTCTTTGCTAAGCATGGTGCAACATTAGGTGCACATCAATCCTGTGAAGGGCTGAATTTTCGCAGCGTTATGGGCAAACAAGGAAACTATGGCTGTACTCACCCTAACCTGAAGGTTTATCCTGGTCCTGTTACCTCCTGACTAGCTTGGCCAGGACTGAATCAACATGTGTCATGGTCTTCCTGCTGTCCCTTTTTCCTTTTCATGTAACCAAAATGCAGAGAGGGATTTGGCACATGCCTGAACCTACCCCCAAGGTAGTGTCTGGACATAGCCATGATGCAAATACTGATTTGGAGACTGGAGGGTCCTCTGGATCGTCACTTAGGAGACTTCCTCTAGACTGTAGTTTTTTCCCATTACCATCACACACTGCAGTGCTCCCTCTGTTCTATGAGAAGGCTGTATGCAACCATACCATGGCTTGCAAACCTGAAATGCCACCAGGAGCCTGTGTTTTCCATGTAATGTTCTTGTGGTAGTGCCTAGAGCCTGGCTTAGAAGAAAATTTTGCTTCAAGAACATGTATTTTTAAGAGAGAAGCTTGCAGATACAACAAATTGGAGAGCGGGATGTGAGCTGTTGTGATGAGGAGTAATAGCCAGATCTGAGTATCATCTGATCTGCAAAACTGTGCAAACCACCCGACTGAAATTACTCACAGCAATGGGAAAAGGGAAACAAGCTCTTTTGTGGTAAAGCTGTGTCTACAGCAAGGATTGCATGAATTTATTCCTTTTTACTCTCGTCCATGTTAAGAACATATAGGTTTAATTTTAATTAAAAAGGGCAAGGTTAATAGCGTCTGAGAGTTCCCATTTCATGGATATGTGGGTAGTGCGCACAATGTGGATGCTCCAGGATTTAATGAGCACAGCATGTAGGTTAGACGTATGACATTTTGACAGTTATTGAATCTCAGATCTCTAGATCCTTATCAGATGAAACCATATAACCAGAAACAATTATATAAACACCACTCACATAATTTTTAAACAAAAATTTATTATGTTGCTTGCTGCTGATTAGCTTTGCTTTCAGAAGCAGATAACATTCATTGGGAATTAGTGTGGTTCTAGGAAATCAGGAGCTAATTTAGCTAGTCAAAGAAGGGAGGGACAGGGAGAAGGGAGTGTGGTATGTTGACTAAATGGTAATATCTATCCCCAGACATTTGCAACACATTTAAAATGAGGTTTGTAAGCAACAGCAGGTGATTCAGACAAAAATAATTATGCAAAAATTTGAGAGGATACAGATTTTTATATTACAGCAGAAATAAAATTATTTTTATTGTTTTTGTATTTGGGTTTGAACAAATGTTATTCTAATTACATTAAAAAACTAAACAAAAAAAAACCTACTGGAAAAGGAAACCTGTGTTGCACAGCCAAGCTGTCAGGACATGACACAATTAAGATTTACCATGCTGTGTTAATTTGGCCCACTTGTGAGTATGCCTTCTAATCAAGTCTTCAGTTACATGATCACACACTGTGTTCAAAACATATCTCCTCTGTACTGAATGAATATAACATTTAGGAGAATTGTTAGACCTTGGTTACTTGTAATAAACCTAGACTAATGGTTTTCTGTAATAGAAGTTGTTCAGTAATTGTCCACGTTTTTCTTATTCCCCAAGTTTATGAACAACTTTGTATTTCCACAGTCAGTCTAGGAAACTTGCAAAAGATGACATCCAGTAAACTCTTCCTCTTGAACACTGGGAAAAAAATAATAATTAACATATTATTCATGTCATTAGGAAGGGCCTGAAATAGAGAGATCCTTTTTCGTACCATAAACAATATATGACATTAGAACCAATACTTTCACCACACAAAAGAGCTGCAAAGAAAATTCAGATGTTAAAGGTTTTGGGGCACTTATTTAGGACAGTAGGCTGTTGTACAGCATATAAGTACTTCTGGTAGGTGTAGAGCGTTGATACTAAGATCGTTTAGTATGCCCAGTATGGTTTATCTCACTCATGCGCATGAGCAGTCAAACACTATTAGCTTACTTCACAAGAAAATTAAACAGAATGTGGGTCTCAAAATTTATGTTATGACCTCAGTAGTGTGTGATGTGAACTGAGGAGCCACATTTCCCTGGTGTGAGCTAAACAGAACCCATTCTGTTCAGTGGTTTTACTTTTCAGCTCAGTCTCTTTTATGATGCTGCACTTTCTGAAGTTTATTGCATATTTTTGCAGACAGTGTCTGCTTCTAGAAGCGATAACACCTGATGTTTATAGTTACTACCAAGGGTTGGTATGTCAAAAGGCTCTTCCTTCTACTTACTCGTAGAGTGTCCATGGTCGCTGCTGGATCTTGTGTAACACATTGGGGGTGCAAGAAAGCAAAAAATTGCACCTCGTGGGAAGAGTGGTCAGGACAGCACAGGTGATCAACAAAACTATTCCATATATGTCATACTCAGTATGAAGCCGAGGAATCAGGGGGTTAAGCTCTCTGCCTCTAATGACTGGCATCCAGGGAGGACTCTGTCCAGTCTTCTGCCTTTGATGCTCATCCTGAGTTTTCAAATCCAACTCCTGGATGCAGCTCCCCTCTGCCACTGAGCCTGGGCCTTCCTCGGTGCCGCCTGCTCTGCAGCATCAGTGAGGACTGCTGTCAGGAGGAGGAGGTCGAGTTCAATATTGGTTTCAATATCCAATTTCTAAAGCTCAGCCAGGAGCAGTAGCAACAAAGCTGTCTGAGTTTGTGTTCAAATTTCTGTGTTAACTTTCTATTTTTTTACCATTCAGTAGCAATAGCAATGGTAGTTCCCTGTAAGGTAAAAAGCACAGAGCCTGATATACATTGCCTGTGAATGAAATTCTGTAATACATGCTCCAGATTCATTCGTAACACACATACTAAAAAGCTCTTTTTGCAGGTGACTCTATACATGAAATCAGTTGAACTTCTTTAGGAAAACCAGAACTTTATAAAAATGTGTTCAACTCATGTAGTAATTTGACACATTTGAAAAAACGTTTTTTGTCGCAAGACTCTCTACGAGAAACAGTCATGGGCAAGTTAAGTGACTTAAGAGAAGGCACATGGAATTACGTACATTCTTGTACATTGGCGTCAGATGAAAACGTTTCTTGCAAATTGAAAAGACCTTTCCCGCAACAGACTGTTAACTTGCTAGGACTCCCGGGCATTGCTTCACGTTACTCACATTGCAGCATGCCTTTATAACTATAGCCTTTAGCTATAGTTATAGAGATGCTGGTGCTCATCTGCGGAGTAAATTTCCCCCAGTGCAGCTCAGAAAATCATTCACCTCCATGTCCCTTCTGAATGTCACCATCATTGCCTAAACACAGTGCTTATCTGTATTCCCCAACTGATGCTGAAAAACCTGACTTGGAAAGTCATGCTATTAACTGACTGAAATACAAGCTTTGTGACGACACATTTGTACATAATTTCAAGCAAAGCTGATATGTTAATAATCTTATACATAAGTGAAATGCAATACAGTTTTTGTCATTCACCTCCATGAACCTTTCCTGTCTCTTAGGATACGTTGATATTGGGCTAATTCCAAAAGGTGCAAGGGGGATCAAAGTCGTGGAAGTTGCAGAAGCAGGAAATTTCCTTGCTGTGCGAAGCAAAGACCCAGAAAAATATTACCTGAATGGAGGCTTTATTATCCAGTGGAATGGTGAATACAAAGTGGCTGGCACAGTATTTCAGTATGACAGAACAGGGGATCTAGAAAATCTGACTGCTCCAGGACCGACCAATGAATCAATATGGATTCAGGTAAAGTAGGAGATCACTGGGTTTGCATGGCAGCAGAATATGCTAGGGATCTGAAAGTGAGGCTGGAAAAATGTATGTATTTTTATATAAACCACTCTGTGAGCATGCTGTCTTGCAAAACTCAGTTGAGCTCTTGCAGAGAAACAAACTCTTTGCTTGACAGACTTGTTCATCCTGCCTGAAAATAGGTGTCCAGTATCACAGTCTGATGATTTTTAAACACTGGCATAATCTAGTGCTTCCTCTAGGATAGGGATCATGTCAGTCCGTTGCCCAAACTTCCTAGACTCTTGTGCCGTCTTAGAACAATATGTGGCTGAGATGCAAACCAGATGAAAAGTACCTGCTTAATACAAAAAGGGAGCTGATACCAAGTGGTGAACAGCAAGAGTTGGGGAACACTGATGGCAGTTACAGCTTACACTGAGCAAGAAAATACAGCATTAGATAGATGGGTTCATAGATTATGAAAGTGAAATGGATCCAGTTAACATCCACGGAGGTTGCTCTCTTTTGTTTCTTTTATGTCACTTTATAGATTCTAACTTAAACGTAACCAGCTTCTGTTGATTCTTCAGAAAAAGCTTTAAACTGCCTCTTTGTTTTCCAAATATATCTTTCCTGGCTTGTTTGACTTTGTATCAACCAGGCAATTAAAAGAAGTATTGGTGGTGTGATGAGAGCCACTTTAACACTTTAAATGTCTGATGAGAAGGCACATCTAATGGGTGCTCGATTTTCACCGTCAGTAACAAGGTCAAGGAAACAATTAGAAGGAGGAGAAGTTCATTGCTGAAGTCTTTTATCCCTTGATGATGTTTTTCTTAGCTCCCTCTCATCAGACAAACAGTAAATCTCAAGTGGCTCTTCTCGTATGGAATTTTCCTTCTCAATCCAGAAACAGTGAAAAATAATATTAAAGCTGTGTCTGAATAAAGTCTGTAATTTTCTGACCTTTTGGTTGTTTTGTAACAGCTATTTCAGAAGGATAGGGAAATTAAAATTAATAATAGTGATAGGCAGTAGCTCTTAGTCAGCAGCACATTTGGCAGTGCCTTGGATGGACTTTGCATTATCTATTCTTACAGTCAATACAATACCAATTACGCTGACCCACTTACTCTCACCTGTGCTAGCAAAAGTGCATTGCGAATGACTATGTCTTAGAAAGATAATTTATGCCACTGCTGGTGTGCAAATAGAAGTTTTGTCAGTCTGCTTTTCGAAACTGGTAGTAAGCTCCGAAATGGGCTGATTTAAACGTTGCCAGTTCTGCTGTTTTCACCCTTTGAAAGCTTTGAGACAGCAGATTACAAAAATCTTAAATAATTAAATAAACCACACTATTTTTCCAGCTACTTTTTCAAGAAACTAATCCTGGAATTAAGTATGAATATACTGTACGTAAAGAAGAAAGTCATGAGAATGAGATTGGAGAACCAGAGTATTTTTGGCAGTATGGAGAATGGACAGCTTGCAGCGTTACCTGTGGAAGAGGTAATTCCTCACTTCCTTTGCTCTTACTGGCAAATTTAGTCTTCAATTTATTCAGATGGTGTCCTCACGGAAGTAAGGTTCTTTAATCTGCGTTTGGTGGAAGATTAGATCACATGGTTACAATAGTGTATTTTGTCTTTAAAATGAAAAGTTATTAAATAATTTAAGGAGACGTCCTCTGAAATTCTCAAAATCTGCAAATCAAGATGAAGAACTACAGATTTCTTTTCCTTATAATTTGTTATCAATATTATTCACAATAACTCTACATACCAGCAATAGTTATTTATGACCTACTCTTGCTTCCCTACTGCATCTTTCCAATATGTTAACTACAAAAAATACTCTTCATTTCTATCCTGCCTTAATAAGTAACAATATTTTTATTTGCATCTCTCAATGATGGAAGGATGATCCGGGAAACTTACAGGCCTGTCAGTCTGACTTCAGTGCCAGGGAAGCTGATGGAGCAGATCATCCTGAGTTCCATTGTGCAGCACAGGCAGGACAAGCAGGTGATCAGGCCCAGCCAGCAGGGGTTTGTGAAGGGCAGGTCCTGTTTAACAAACCTGATCTCCTTCTATGACTGGGTGACCCACTTGTCACCTGCTTGTTGCCCACAGCATTCTCCTAGAGAAACTGCCTGCTCTTGGCTTGGATGGGCACACGATTCGCTGGGTGAAAAACTGGTTGGATGGCCGAGTCCAGGGAGTTGTGGTCAAGGGAGTTAAATCCAGTTGGCAGCCGGTCACAAGTGGTGTCCCCCAGGGCTCAGTGCTGGGGCCACTCCTGTTTAACATCTTCATCAATGATTTGCACCAGGGGATGGAGTGCACCCTCAGTAAGCTTGTAGATGACACCAAGCTGGGTGGAAGCACTGATCTGCCTGAGGGTAGGGAGGCTCTGCTGAGGGATCTGGACAGGCTGGATCACTGGGCCAAGGCCAACATCATGAGTTTCAACGAGGCCAAATGCCAGATCCTGCACTTCAGCCACAACAGCCCCCAGCAGCGCTACAGGCTTGGGGAGGAGTGGCTGGAGAGCTGCCAGGCAGAGAGGGACCTGAGGGTGTTGACGGACAGCAGCTGAACATGAGCCAGCAGTGTGCCCAGGTGGCCAAGAAGGCCAGTGACATCCTGGCCTGTGTCAGGAATGGTGCTGTCAGCAGGAGCAGGGAGGTGATCATGTCCCTGTACTGGGCTTTGGTGAGGCCCCACCTTGAGTGCTGTGTCCAGTTTTGGCCCCTCACTACCAGAGGGACACCGAGGTGCTGCAGAGGGTACAGAGGTGGCTGCCAAGGGGGGAAAGGACTTAGAACACAAGTCGTATGAGGAAAGGCTGAGGGATCTGAGGCTGTTTAGCCAAGAGAAGAGGAGATTGAGGGGAGACCTCATCACTCTCTACAACTACCTGAAGGGAGGTTGTAGAGGGGCGGGAGTTGGTTTGTTCTCCCTAGTGGCGAGTGATAGGATGAGGGGAAAAGGCCTTAAGTTGCACAAGGGGCGGTTCAGGTTGGATATTAGAAAGAATTTCTTACTGGGAGGGTTGTCAGCCATTGGAACAGACTGCCCAGAGAGGTGGTTGAGTCAGCATCCCTGGAGGTGATCAAGAGACAGGTAGATGTTGTGCTGAGTGTTTAGTGGTATTGAAAGGGCTAGGACAAAGGTTGTACTTGATGATCTTGAAGGTCTCTTCTGACCAAAACTGTTCTATGATTCTATGATTCTGTGATTCTAATAATTATTTTATTTAAAGCAGTCTCAAGAGTTTACATGTCTTCGTTACTCTCGGTGCAATGGCTTTGGGACAGCTGCAGTTACATTGAAGTTCTGTGCAGCATGTTGAACAGACAAGAAGAAATATGACGATTAAGTAAGATCTCACAACTCGAGAAGTTTACCTTTGGTAATATGCAGAAAATGCTGGCAGGAAATCTCTTTAAAGTAGTTAACAGATCAATGAAAATAAGTTGATGCTTGCAGTAAACCAATGATAATGATAAAAACTCTGAAAGTTTCTTTACAAAAGTACAGGTTTTTATCCATCCTTTGTGGAAATATTTTTTAAAAGATGGGAAAAATGTGTATGAAAGGAAGTCTGCACCTAGAGGGGAGGAGATTGCAACGTTTCATTTGAATGAGTTCCTGAGTTTCACTGGACAGAAGAGTCCTGGAGATAGGATGGGAACCTTGTTCTTTGACCATATGTGGAAACCTGTACAGAACAGTAGAAGATCAATGTTACAGCCACTGGACAAACATGAAATAAGCCTTTTCTCTTGCTAATGCTAGGGTCAGTGTTTTTTCATAATTATTGCTTTCTCTAACTACTTTACAGAAGGAAAGAAAAAAGACAAATGTTTTAACAAATCCAAATGAGAGTCTAGAAGCAGTGATGTTTACAGGACTAACAATTTTTTAATCTTTCTTGTTAGAGAAGACACAAAAATAATGTATTTTCAGTGGTTTGAATACAGGGTATTGTGTGGCCTTAATTTTAGAAGAAGAAAAGAAGAATTTTAGAATAGTGTAAATTACCCCATCCCAGTAAGATTCCTGTATTATAAAAATTATTTTGAGATATATATGTAATAAAAATATACAGATGTTTATACATCCATATATATATGCTTGTGTAAATATTTGTGTGGTTTGTTTAGGTTTTTTTTTGTTTGTTCTGGAAGAGTCTCTCAGCACGAAACACCATGTATTTTCTGGCTAGCAGGAAAACCAGATTATTTTCTTTAAATAGACACCCAGAATAAGTGTTTTGGTTTATTGCATGCTGTACGTTTTAGTTCTGATACTTAGTTGTGAGTAATATTTAAAGTAACACTTGGTATGATAACAAAAAGAGGGGGGGAAATGTGTTATTAGACTGTTTATTATGTTGGTTTGGGTGTTTTACATCAGCTGCACTTTCCACAGAACTATTTCTCACTAAGTAAATTATAACCCTGTGTGCTACCTTCTGTCTAAAGAACTTTGTGATTTGGCTCTGATTTCTAACTACCACAGAGATTACTTAAATAGAGGAGTGCAGGATATAGAGCTTTTTTCCTAGTGTTTATTTAATAAATAGCTTCCCCTGTTTATTGTCTTTGGAATCTTAATACATATTTTTTTGAGCTCATTGGCTTTTTCTTTGCATAAGTAGAAATTATATTTTTCAGGCAAGACTGTGGACTTAGTGACATGCAGTAGTCCACTGCATGGTTTGCAGGGAAACCAAGAGGAACCTGACGGAAACATTGCAATTTCTCTGCATTCCTTCATGGATAGGAGAGAAGAAATTAACGGACCCTTTCCTCTCTTCTCTTTCAAATACATGCATTTATAAAAGTAACTGAACAGATCTAGTTGAAAATGTAACCTGCTGGTATTTTTGCTTACACTCTGCCCAGAAAAAAGGGAAACCCTGGCACAGAGCTTCAATGCATCGCTTGAACCAGGGGAGCTCTCATATTACAGCCTGTCTACAGTTTTCTGTGGGTATTTGATGCTTAACCTGGTTGTGCTCTGAAATGTCTGAATGTGGACTAGGCGTGCCGTTGTCATATTAGCTTGGCACTGAATTGGAGCTAGTTGGCCCTCGTAAGCACCACACTGGTGTAGTAATACAGCAGGTTTATGCCTGGATGCTCAGAGTACAAACACATCAGAAAAAATACCAGGAGCTTTGCTGCATAAAGGGCATAGCAGCAGGGAGGTAGTATTCGGAAAATATTAGCTCTCCTTCATTATGGAAATTTGGAAACTCTAAAGTCCTGCTGCATTTAGCAGGAAATACGGGCATGGTGATGATTGTTGACCTAGAACTGGGAAGTCTCACACTGTTACACATTATTGTGGTTTGATCCCACCCAAATTCAATTCAGGACCAGAGGGCAGAATAAAGGCAGAACTGAATATTCCCAGTGTTGCTGAGTTAGGCAACACCCTTCTCTGACTTCCACAGACCTTCCTTCTGGGTTTGAATGATGAGATTGATTTTATCTCAATGTACACTCTGTTAAAATTCAGTATTTGTTGCTGTTGGCGGTAACAGACATGTTGTGCCAAATCTCAGCCATTTGAAGAGTTTTGAAAGGTTTGTAAGATAAAGGGCACTGGAAGTAGGCATGATCATCTGCTGTTGGTGTACTGCATGATGATTCTTACTGAGACAAGCCTAAACTGGGGGTCGAGGACGAATGAGAAGTTGCATTTCTTTAGACTAAAGGTAGTAGTAAAATAACCTTCAAGGGGTTTGTTAACTAAGAAACCAGTAGTTTTTCAGAATAAAAGGAGGGCCAGTAAAGGTGAACTATTGAACTAACTTCAACAGCCACAACCAGTGGGAGAAATTGATCCTTACATAGAATTTAGTTGGGTTGGCAAACCTGGACCTGCGTAAAGATTCAGCATAGGCTGTCATCAGGACTGGTCAATATGATAGCAGTACATCCAATGGCACTTTGGCCTTTTGTAGCCACAGAGATCAGGACAACACAAATAAATGCTTTCTGGAGAGAATGAAGCTGAGTTAGGGAGTGACAAATGGGGATACAGGCATGGGAACGGGCTGATGCGGGAAAGCTTCATCTGTCCTAAGAGAAAAAATTACAGTTTTAATCCTGTAATACAGCTCCTTATTTTTTTGGAAAGAGTCCCAGTGATGAATAATGTCTTTATAGAGTGACATTATCTATTCTCAGAATTAACCCAGGACAGCTCCTTAAAGATATTTTCAAAAAAAATCTTGGCCTCAAGGTAGCACCATGCCAAGCTATGACCCGTATCCTTCCCCAGCCCAATTGCAACTGAAAAAGAGGAGATGTAATTGTGTTCATGTTTTCCTTCATTTTGTTTATGTGCCTCTTTCTTTTTTAGTCTCAAAGCGTGCGTCTAGCCAGTCTACAATAACATCATTTCACAGGGAAAAAGTATTGTCTGAAAAATTGATGTTTTCTGCAGCAAACTTACCTAATACTGCATGCAGGGAAAAGGGGAGCATATTTC